GCATATTGTGGTTGGGAATTTCCGACCACAAACCGACTACTTATTACAAGGATCAAAATAAGGTTGGAAAATGGTCAAAAATATTTCTGACTATTTATTTGGTCGGAAAAATGGTCGAAAAGTGACTTGTTTTCTTGTAGTGTAATCATTGATTAAAAGTTTAATTATTCGACATCGATTATGTAGATTTATGGATACAAATTTTTGCATTTTCATCATTTTACAGGCAAAATCTTCAATTAAGGTCTTGTATTTTATGACGGATAAAATCGTTTATCCTGAAAGGGGTGTAAATGGAACCATATGTCGTATGCTGCAGAGAAAATTGTATCTCATTAATTAGTTTGCGAAGCTGTTTAGCCTGACCATTTGCAATGACAATATGAACTGTTTTATGATGATGTAAACGACGTAAACAAGTATATGTTTGCTTAACAAGTAAATGTCAGTTTAGTATGGCTTATGCAGCTTATCTTAGCATTTGGGTTTTTTTTTTGTGTGCCTGGTTAGTTGCATTTTCTAAGAAAACAAACCCATGCATACGACGTCTATATATCTTGAAGCTGTTGAATATCACCATGGTGAAGTTTTGATGGGCTAGTTACCCTTAGTAGGTTCAAAATTTTATCTTTTGTGTGATTGTAAGTACCATTAGTTGGTTTAATCTGTTAAATAATACTTCCAAGTTGGGGAAAAAATAAAGTGGCTTTGTTCCAATTTTTATTCATAATCATTTGATTTTGGCTATACATATAATATATAAGTAACATACCATATCAACTGAATAATTTTTTTTATTGATTTTCCAATTAATTATTGGTTCAATATATCATATTTATTCTCAAAAGAAATTTAAGTTTTAACCTCTTGAAGAGCGTAGATGTGATAAACTGGTGTGACTTTGGCAATTTCGACAGCGTTTATCTTTGTTACGGCTTCCACTAGCGGTTCCTCAAAGAAAATATCGAACTTGAAAGTAGCGACCTGTAATACGACCAATCGGGAATCGGTGGCAGAAATTTCTTACCTCAAGACTCTTGTTTGCGGAGTAGCTACGAACAGTGAGGGGACGAAACGATGGCCTAAGCCACACGAAAAAAAAAAATTAGCGAAAGGAGGTCAAACCCGGTGTAGGAAAGAAAGACAAAGAGAAGGAAAAGATCCCTCACCAACCTGAGAGGAACTATCTAACTTGATGTCCTTTTATGCAAGTGAGAACGCTTTCATTGGAACCCTCCCCTCTTCTCTCTTCACCATTCCTTCTTTGAAAATCTTGAGTTTGGCAAATAACCAATTCAACGGCACTCTTGAGTTTGGGAATATATCTTCACCATCTAAGTGACAAAGTCTTGACAACAACCACTTCAGAGGTCTAATCGCGCGAGCTCCATTTCCATAATAACCAAACTCTTGATCTTTCCTATCTCAACACCTATGGCTGAATTCACTTTTGTATCTTATCTCATCTCAAGTGTCTCATATGTCTTTACCTATCGCGTTTGAACACCCCCACTACGATTGACTTGAATGATTTCTTTTCTTTTAATATTTCAAAAGACTCTCTTCACTAGATCTCTCAGGTTTCAGTGACAGGGCCAACATGAAGATAAAATTTTGTCAGATGAATCATCATCGGAAAAACCGAAGAAAGTCATATAACGTGCTCAACTACTGGTCTACATACTCTGGAATGAAGACATAAAGTGTTAAAAAGAAAATAAAAGTCAAAGCATAACAGTGATTTACAAGGTTTTATAAGCCGTAGAAGATCCAAATCGCTCACCTGAAGGGAATTATGGCAGTGTTGCAAGTTCAGTCCACAATGCGAGGGTGCTGCAAGAAGGCAAATTAGTACATTTCAATTTTTTTTTTCAAAAGAGAGAACGAGTGTAAAAATGGGAAACGAGAACTCGAGAAGGTCTTGTTCTTAATGGTGGTTACATTAACTTTATTGTTGAATGGAGAAGCCTCAAAGCTTTTTAAGCTGCGACTAGACTCCAAATGTGACGGATCACCTCACAATCAACAAGTAGTGAATCCAATCACTGAATACTACAGTTTTAGATTCATAATACATGAGTTTGTTTTACTATGAAAATGTGATTGTGTCAAAAAAAAAAAGTGTTGTAATGTTTGGTGACGGAAACACTAAAGTCCATCATCAATGTTGGACTT